GATCGATGCAGCACGGCTTGAGTGGTACACGCTTCCGAAATGTTGAAGAAGTGCGAGAATGGGTGGACGAATGGATTGCTTCGAAACAAACATCGTTTTATCGAGATGGTATCGCCCAGTTGCCAGAAAGATGGCAAAAAGTTGTAGAAAGTGATGGAAAATACTTTCATTGAAATAATTTAAATAAATTTTTTACAATAAATGCTTTTTCTCAGTATTTTTTGGGCGGAAACTAAGTTAAGGTCCTAATATTTATAATATTTTTTCAAAAAGAATGGCTAATGTACCATTTAGTGATATAATAGTTTTGTCCCAATTTGTGACGTAAGGTGAATGCCTCAATTAGAAGTTGACCAAATATAAAAATAAAGTAATATATATATATATATATATATATATATATATATAAATTATAAACGATATAAAATAATATATGTTTATATATATATTTATTAATAAAATATAATAAGTAATTATTATTCGAATATCACGATATCCGTACAGAATATCACAATATCCGTACAGAATTATAAATGTATTACTAACTTATTATTGATTTGAACATGGCAGTTTATAAGCTAATGACTCGTATTTGTATTATTTTATTTATTTTAGCAAGTTATAATATTCATGTTTTAGCTCTATAATAAAAATATTTACGAACCACATATTTTTCTTAGAAACGTTTAAATCGTTTTATGTCATATTTGTTCAAGTTGTTACTAAAAATGAGGACAAATGAATATTCTAATTAGTAATATATACACGAATTAACTAAGAAAATTACATATTTTATTTTACATTCTTTGTTTGTAAAATATTCTTCAATTTTCTCTCGACTTTAACATAACCATTTTAATCACTTGAAGTTGAAGAATAATTGCATATATCTAACAAATAAATGTAACATTAATTGTCAACTTTTAAGATATAGGCGAATAACCGTTCGAACCGTTAGCAGTACGCCTGTAAAATTATAGGCCTGTCCTTTGTCGAAGAACTTCCTGAGCTGATATACACTGATGTAATAAGTTAGAGTGCAACAGAGTATACTTTGTTGCACTCGAATTTTTTACACCAGTATACACTAGTTTAGAAAATTCTTCGAACAATCCTTTGATGTTTCAGCACTTACTATATCATTTAATTTTATTCAAAACTTGTTTTAATTAATAATATATAAAATTTAGAGCATGAACATATATGTTTAGGATTAATATATTAATTGATATGTGTGTGTGTATTGAGAAAAATGAGTGAAATCGTCGCTAATTGGGACATTAACCCTAGATGAATGTTCTGTTTCGCGCTCTGTTTTACGATTTCCGTTGGTTCGCGTTTAGTGAAACCGGGACAAAACGTCATCGAGCGTCAGTCGACGGAGTCGTCGGTAACTATACCGTTCGAAAGGACGTTCCGCAACCTCGAAGAGAACAGACCGGTCGGCGGTGATACTCTAGAACAGTTCAACTTCTGCGGCTGCGGTTGGCCGCAGCATATGCTGGTGCCTAAGGGGACGAAGGAGGGATTCCCGATGGACCTCTTCATCATGATATCCGATTACACCGGTGACGCGGTGAGTACTTTTTATACTTATCAGGCTCTTCTCTAGTGGCGCTTAAGAGCTTACGGTGTGTCAGCTGATGGAAATCCCTTCTTCGCCCTTTTCCCGCGTTTTCTTTTTTATTTCTTTCCCCTTTCTTTCTTTGCCCCTTCACGACGACGTTCCGGTACACGGGAGGGCGTTTGCCCCTGCTAGGTGCTCCGCATAAAAAACGGGGAGCACGCCAAAAGAGAAATCGCTCTACCATCCCGCGGTGTTGTGTGTAGGTGGAGCAGGAGGAATCGGCCGGATGCAAGGACGCGGTGAGCTTCTGCGGCCTGCGGGACCGCAAGTATCCGGACGCGCGGCCCATGGGCTATCCGTTCGATCGCAGACCGCGAGCTGGCGTCGAGACCCTGGCCCAATTCCTCACCGGCAACATGGCGGTCGCGGAGATCAACATCCGCCACACGGACACGGTGTTGCCGCGAGCGCGCTCCGGAAGCATGAGCAACACCCTTACCTTTGCCTAATGATTGACCGACCGACCGACCGACCGATCACGGCGGACCGCTCGCTCGCGCATCTCCGGAGAATTCCAACGACGATCCCTGCCACATTCCCGCGATCCTGTAATATCCGTCGGAGAATCGCGACTGATTGCGTGGAAACGAGGACGCGCGCCATGGTCCCATCTAGTCCATATCCTCAGAGAGAGAAAGAGAGAAAGAGAGAAAGAGAGAGAGAGAGAGAGAGAGAGAGAGAGAGAGAGAGTAGAGCGAACGACGAGACGGGAGCGAGTAAAAAGCCGCTGGTCGGAAAGCGGAGAAGACAGGGGGTGGGAGAGAGCTATTTCCATATTGCGATAGATGACGAAGGATTATCCGCTGGGTTTTTCGCGCGAGCACGCACGATCGTGTATGCGTAGTTGCTGGAACTTCGCCCCCTTCACGAAACTGATCATCGTCGAGGAACCCCGTGACTATATAGGGCGCGTTCTGTTACACGCTCGCAACGCTCGCGTGCATTCTATCTTTGCTCATGGATGTTAAACAAAGATAGAATGACGCTCGCGAGCGTTGCGAACGGAACGCGCCCGTAGTAGAATTCAGCGTCTCTCCGCCGATTTACAGAGTCTCTTTATATGGATTTTTCTGTGTGTTTTCCTTCCCGACGGATTTTTAACAGCTATTCCGCAAAAGTTGCGCTTCCGCACGATATCTGTATAAATTAGAGGCAATTTCAACTGCGCGAGCGCAGTCTTCGGGCTCACGGTGTGTTAATTAAGCATTTGAATACGATTTTAATTTCGAGCTTGATGAATCTCTTGAGAATTCTGCGAGAGCCACGCATGCGTGTTTCATTAAATAGCTTTGTAAGAATCATTATGTTTACGATTTCGCAATTTGCGCGTTTATATACAAGCAATAAGTGCGGCTTAACAAATGTATTTTCGTGTAAAAACACGAACAGAGAGATGTCTCGCAGAGACGTCCAAGCAAAGCTTTTCCCACCTCCTTTCTCTCATTTCACCCGCATTACGGGAACTAGATTGTAGAAAGCAGCAAATGTAAAATGCAAAAAAAAAGATAAAAATAAAGTCAAACTATGCAAATTAGATGTGCACTTTTCTTTTCTTCCTTTTTTCATCCTCTTTCATCACATTACCGACTGGAACGTGGAAAGTGCGCCACGACGCTCCGGATATAATACAGGAGACGCAGATCAGTGAAGACTGAGAACGATCCAATGAATTATTTAAAATTCCATTTGTTCACCAATGTTGCAATTAATTTTCATACCATTAATTCGGAAGAGAGATTTACGCATTGCACTTGTGTGTGTATGTACACACATTGTAACTTTTTATGTAAAATACTTTCCAAAATATATCGTTGCGTTTCTCTATTTAAATCGACGCATAAAAAAAAAAAAATATATATATATATATATACAACTAGGCTGGGAGCCTAAAAAACATAAACACAGGAGAAAAACAAGAATAACTTTGTTTTTCGTGTCTCGAGCTAGACGATATGACCGGCTTAGTTGTTCATTCGCTCTCATCGAACGCGGTTATTCATTCACGACGTAATATCACACGTACTCAGTCGAAACTCGCGCATACCCACACTTCACGATAACGCTTCTCGATCTTTGTATTTTAAAAACGAGTCGTGCTCTCTCGCATCTTACTCTTTGTCTTTTCCCTTTGTTTTTCCAACTACAATTTCAAATTTTTTTTTTTAAATGTTAACCGATAAAGAAAAGATAATGCTGCTTCTTTATCA